CCAAACCACGCCGTGCCTCCAGGACATATAGAGGCCAGGATCCACATCATATACAAGCAGCCAGTTAGATGAACCACGTTCTGCCACTCATGATCCAGCATGTCGCATGTAAAAACCCGATGGCCTCGAGCACGCACAGCGCGAGCACAGCGTGCCACGCCCGAACATATCTCAGCGAACGCTGTGGTGCGAGGTATAGCGTGCTCAGCGGAAATAGCACTCACGATCTCACCCAGAAATTGCTGCTGGCCATCTACGAAACTGGCGGGCCCCCCTCGAGAGACGATCAACTTTGCCGTGGAAACTGCCCAGCTGTATCCCTCTGAACTCGGAGGCACAGGCTCGGGCCTGCCGCCGGCCGCCAAGGAAGCGCCAATGAGCTGGATGAGAATTACAACAAACAATCGCCAGCCACAAGTGGGAGCCATGACCCTCTGGCCGCGAAGTCACCCCGCACAAGTTTAGACCTCCAATCGATGAGCCTGAAAAGTCTGCGGGGGAAGCTTACACGATGGCAAAATTGGGCTATCGATCGCAACACTGCGTTCAGCGACTCGCCCAAGAAACAATGGTAATGTTTCGGGGTGCCGTGCGAAGGGATCCCGGGGGCCCTGCGCAAACATCAACACTCTGTATTCTATGTTTTGTCGACTCCATGTTTTTCTCTTCCGTCATATCCTCCTCCCCCTCCCCCCCATCCTCCTCCTCCTCCTCCTCCTCCTCCTCCTCCTCCTCTTCCTCCTCCTCCTCTCCCTCTTCCTCTTCCCCCGCCCGCTGCCCTGGGGAGGCCCCGATCGAGAACTTCGATGCGAATCCTGCCATCCGAAGAGGCTGGCGTCATCTTCCGCCCCCCCACCCCCTCGCTCCTGCGCAGCATGTGAGCAAGTAGATGATGTTTGGGGGTCAGTGCAATACCCGCGGCAACTGTGGAGAGCAAGTGCGTGTCCAAGGCAGTCATGGTGTCGCGCATCGTATGCGGGGGCGGGATGATATCGCTTTCCTTGAGCTTGTTAACAATCGTTTCCAATGAAGCACCACATCCCAGAATTGCATCCCCAAAGACGGCCGCGCCACCATATCTGATTAGTTCCGACGTAGCAAACGTAAGTAGAGTGGAAGCTTCTGCCGCTTTGAGGTTCATGTGACCTCCTGGATGAAGACCATTCTGGAGCGTTGTTTCTAAGTGTACGGGGGGGGGGGGGGGCGGAGAGGGTGAAACCTCATGCTTTGCATCGCGTCTGACGCTAGAATCCCACGAGCATCCGGATCCTGCCCAGCACAAAACGGAGGCCTGTGAGACACAAGCGAATGGGCAAGACGAGGGAGGGAAAAGGGAGGAAGAAAGACGGCAGGGGCGAGGTGCAGAGGACGGAAGGAGCCCGAGCGGCGCTTTCGCCCAGCTCCAGCGAGGAGGCGCATTCAGCGTGCCAACGTGTCCCCCGATCGGGACCTCGCGGATTCGTTCGACCCACGGCCGTCTCCACGGCGCGCAGGGGCGGGGCTCGTGCATTGGTGCACCAGGAGGAAGAGGGGTAGTGGGAGGAGGGGATCAGGATGTCAGGGGGGAGGGCGGGGGAGAGGGGGGAGGGAAGCGAGGGCGACGACGACGACGGAATGAAGGCGTGGGGCCATGGAGAGCGACGACGACGACGACGACGACGACGACGACGACCACACGCGCAATGCATGCGAGTGCATCGGAAGACCACGCGTGATCGCATTCGATTCCATGATCTGGGACAAGGCATGATGTGTCATCTTGTGCTGCAGAATGCGGTCACCACTGGACGTCAATATACGCAAGCGCACAATTATAGTACCAGGTGCGCGCGTGATCCTCCCGTTCAAGCCTCCTCCTCACCTCATCCCCCCCCCCATCCAGGCCCCCTCCATCCTCCACCCCTTCATCCTCGATCCCTCCGAAAGACTGTCTCAAAAAACAATGTCCTGAAGATTGCAGCCTTTTCGCTTGCCCATCATCTTGAGGGCAATAGCGTTGACCCTGCGATTCAAGGGGATACTGCGACGATCTTGCCATGCTTCCAGATCTCCCCGAAGCCAATTGATGCCGTTCTCCAGCACGCTATCCAAGTCGCCCTGCGCCCGCCACGGGTTCGCGAGCAGCACTCGCCAGAGCGCCGCCGAAATGCACCGGATGAGGGGCCCCAAAAAAAGCGCGCGGAGAGCGTCCACCGCGAGGGTGCGGTGCGGAGAAGTGCCGAGCTCCTCGGAGAACAATGGGCACCTGTGATTCAGCGAGTCAATCACCTTGCCGCCCCTATCTCCGCGCCGAGGGCGCCACAGAGTCACCGTGGTTGGCAATCCCACCCTCTCCAGGCCGTAAATGTCAGGAAGCGCCCTGCTCGGCTCAAGACGGTCGCCTTTGGTCAAGTTCACTCCGTTCACAACGGTATCGTTTCTGATCACGCGGCCCCCAATCTCTTCCTTGGATTTCTCGGGGCGCAGGGCCCTGATCAACATATTCCTGACTTCTAGCGTGTCGATGGTGACGTTAACCTCGCACGCCCGACAGGCCTTATCGTAGTCTGCGTGCGTCTTGAGTAGCCAGTGTGGCCCAGGTCCGACATGCCTGTCATGATCACCTAGCTCCTCTTTCGTGGCGTGGCAGAACTGGCACGGGGAGAACTTGGACGCCCACGACGCCAAACCCAACGTGTGGGAGTGCTCACTCCAATCGCCCTTGATGTATAGCAGCACGGTTCGGCACGACAAGGGCGACGCGCGGCCCACCCAATCCCCCCCGCCCCACGGAGACCCGTCATATCGGCAAGGGGGGCGTTCGCCCCGCTGCGCGTGGGCCAATTGCCACTGAACTGCTGAAAGAAGAGGTTGGATCGAACACCAGCCACGGCATCCACAGGTGCAGTAATCGCCAGATTTTAGCGGGGCCAGGAAGTGCCGCTTGCCACTCAAGAGGTTGGTCCCCCAAATGCCCAGGACGGTCTCTGAGCGCCCCGCTGCTTGTGAAATGAATCGGACCCCGTCCACATACACAGCAACGGGCACGGGGTCCGTCACATTGTCTCTCCGTGCTTGCTGGACAGCTGGATGGTCTGTGTACGCTGGCACGTCCAGCACCGTGGATGGTCGCTGGTCCAGCGGCAATTCTAATATGTCCATAGTGGTTGAGTCGCACTCGAGTTCGGTCTCCAACGCCTGCCAGAATGCACTCATGGGTACGTCGCAGACTATGCGGTGCTCTCGTTTGCCAAGGTTTAATGGCACAGCAACTGTAAACAAGGGCGAACCATCTGGCATCGCAGAGTCCAGGTGTTTTTGAAAGCGTCCTGTGGGTGCATCAGGCGGCGTTGCATACCTAGCAAAGTCTCCGCCCTGAATGCCCGCAAGACTGGCTAAGTGGCAAATTGAGCATAGGTCCTTGGCACTTAACATACACGTTGAATACAATGTGAGCAAGTAACGCAAGAGTTCACATTCAGCCTCCCGCTGTTGCTGGGCGGCTGGTCTCCACATTCGTGACCACGCTGAGCCAAGCAGGCGATCTACGATGCAATTCTCATCGCAGTTAAAATCATCGCCTCATCCTAAGATCTTCAACTCATATCATTGCGACCCTCCTCCCCCTTCCCCCCCCCACCTCCTCCTCTCCCTCCTCCTCCTCCCCCCTCCAAAGGCTGGCGTTCATCCCCCCCCCCCCTTGCCTCGGTCGCAAATGGCCGAAGGGGAGGCCCCGACCAGATCTGTTTCGAGCACGACTACGGGGCAAGGGTGCCATCGCGAGGCCCCATTATGCATGCGGCTAACTGCCACGTGGATACATCCGCCGACCCCCTCCCCTCCCCCCCAAATGACGCGGCAAGTGAGGGGGGCAGGGGTGGGCGGATGACAAGATGGGGACGGGGCAGAAAGCAGGCGAAGGTTAGGGTTGAATGCGCAGAGAACGATGCACACTCAGGAGTGAGGAAAGGAGACATGGGGTTGGGGGGGCAGCTCGACCACGCATCAGTTCTCGAGAGAATGCTCGAAAGGCTCGTCAGCAGTACGTCTGATCGAGCTTGTGACCTGTTTAGCTCTTCCAAGCCCCTCCGAAGCCAACCTGCCCGTCTTGCTCGAGAGGGGGCGACGAAGGTTCGCGCCAAAAAGAAGATCAACTACGTCAACTCACACATCCACAGGGGCCATGGGCCACCACGGACCCGAGAAACGCCACGCTCTGTTGCACAGCCAACGCTCGAGCGCCAGGAGATGCAGTCCTTATCCCCCCCCCCTCCTCGTTCTCATCCTCCTCCCCCCTCCTCAGAGCTAGGCAGCCGCGGGCGCGAGCTCTGCCTGGGCCAAGAAGGCATGGCGCCCAGCGCAGCTGAGCCGACGGGCGACTATCTGGCCTGAGCCAGTGAAAAAGACAGCTCGAGAGACCCTGCGATCACCCATCGCTTCGGGCCGGCTTGCGTGCCCTCCGACCGATCTACATATCCGAAACCTATCGTCTACCCACGTCGTCTGGGAACGATTTTCCATCTGACCTGACCTGGTCGCCCAAAATTCTGCCCTGACCCGGTCGCCCCAAATTCCACCGCAAACTCCAACGCAATGGAATTTGCGATGGAAACCATTTTCCATCGCATTTCGCCTGATACATTCGTTCAAAACCACTGTTTTCCAATGCATTGGAAAATCCAAATTCCACCGCAAATTCCACCGCAATATTTTCGAGGGTCAGGGGTGTTTTTCCTCAGCGAGCTTTGTTTTTGGGGTGCCCAGGGTCGCAATTCTTCAAGGATGGAGGGCACAGGCTCGATGTGGGGCCTGCTGCAAAACTCGCCCCACGGATTCAACATCCCACGAGCTGCAACATTCAGAAGTTGCAATTGAAACCGAGAATTCAAGCCACTGGCGAGAGACAAAATTCTCGGTGAGACCCAGGCTGCTCATCAGCCGATGCATTCATGTGCGTAGCACATGATACCCCAGTCAGAAGCTAGCAGCTAGCACCTGACTCTGCCCCTGAACGTCAGAATCTACGCCTCCTGCTTAATCTCAGCCTGGTTCATCGCCCTGACCTCGTGGAGGTTCATTAAAATATTGCAGGACTGCGCGAGGCCGTCGAGCTTCGGGTTCAGCATCACGAGCTCAGCAATGCCCTTGAGATACTGCGTGCCCAAGACCGACTTGAGCTTGGGAAACTCCGCCGCCATGGTCTTCGGAAGTAGGTCGCTCGAGTTGATGATGGCCATGACGGCCTCCAACTTCGTTTGCATCGTCGGCGTCTCTGGGTCGGTCTTGGCCCACGCCCATTCTGCCCGCTTCTCCATGTTTGTCTGCAGGAGGCTGGCGCTGGATGTCAAACTCAAATAGCGCTGGTAACATTTCCGTGCTGCGATGATGTCGCGCTTCGCCTTATCTTTGGCTTCCTTCGTTTCCATGGCCAAGCGTTCCTGTGCAGCCGACTCCTTTTTTTCCTTGGCCAGCCTCGACTTCTTCCGAGCAGGCGTCTCGTCGAGGTGCTTGGCAGCGTCGGCGGCTGGCTTCCCCTCGGTGGCGGCTTGGCCTGCGGCAGCGGGTTTGCCCGCGGTGGCGGCTTGGCCTGTGGCAGCGGCCTTGCCTGTGGTGGCTGCCTCGCCTGGGCCCGCGGCGGCGACCTGGCCCGTGCTGGCGGCCTGGCCCACGGGCGGGGGGTCGGAGGGCTGCTTGCTCGTAAGCCTCCTCCTCTTGCCCTCTCCGTCAGCCGCCGCGTCCGCCTCCAGCTCCTCGGGGTTGGCAACAAAAGAATGGCTCCGGATGGGGGTGCACGATGAGGAGGAGCAGGAATATCATCGAACGTGGGAAGGTGAGGATGGTCGAAAAGAGGATGAGGAGGAGCAGCAGCAGCAGCAGCATGAGGAGAGAGATGAGGAGGAGACACGCCAGGAGGGAGGGGGGCAGGAAGAAGAGGAGAAGGAGGAGGAGGAGGAGGAGGAGATGGGAGAGGAGGAGGCGGATGGGGACGGCGGGGAGGAGCAAAGGAGGGGGGAGGCGAGGAGCGGGAGGAGAGGGGGGGAGACGGAAGGAAAAGGTTTGGGAGGGGGTGAGCAGTCCGTGGGTGTGTCCTCAACCTGCTCGTCCAGGACGGCGCGCGGGTTGTTCGACCACTCTTTGCGCAGGGTCCAGGCCGTCGTGAAGGTGTTCGTGAAACCCTCGGCTGCATCGCGCCCCCTTCCGATCGATCGATTGATCTCGCGATCTTCGAAGCAATCGGAGGAGGAGGAGGACCACGACGAGGAGGAGGGATGAGGAAGGAAGAGGTGGAGGAGGAGGAGGTGCAGCAGGAGGAGGAGGAGGAGAGGTAGGACACACCCTGAGGACGTAGACCGAAATCGCGTCGCCTGCCGTCGCAATCAGCAAAGATCGAGCTTCGATCAACGAGGCAAACCGAGCGGGGCGCGGTCTCCAAGCACAGGCACCGCAAGCATGATGTCATCGGGCAATATACGATCCAGGGCGGCCCCATCTGCATGCACTTGCTGAAGTAGCGGCAAGCCTGGGCTTGGGCCCACACTTTGGGACCCCCCCCCCCCCCATCATCCTTAATCTGACTCGTGCTCCCAGCCTCACGCCTCTCCCCAGTCCTTCCCTCTCCTCGCCGCCCCTCCAACCTCATTCTCTACGTCCTTCTTCCTCCGAGGCGCATCCTCGAGACAGCGCCCCTGGCACCCGAAGTCGGGTCGGCGGTTCGACCAACGGGCTCGTTATTTTCAAGACCCCCAAGGCCTACCATATCCCCCTGCCGATTACACGTGGTGCCCAAAATCGCGCCAGAAACCAGATGCGCCATTTCTCCAGAAGACGAAGACATGGACGAGGGAGGAGAAGGAGGGGGAGGAGGAGGAGGACGGGCAGGCAAACGAGGAGGAGGAGAGGGAGAAGGAGTCAGGAGGAGGAGGAGGAGGAGGAAGAGGAGGCGGAGGAGGAGGAGGAGGAGGAGGAGGAGGGGGAGGAGGGGGAGGTGGGGGAGGAGGAGGGAGGCGGAGGAGGAGGAATAATCGAATCGCGGTCAAATTCGACCCCCCCCCCAAGGAGCTTGAAGCCAGCCCAGCTTCCCTCCGCCCTCCTCGACCGCCACGCGGCCGAGGGGGCGGTAGATCCCCTTGACGAAATCCGTCCTGGCCTCCGTCACGGTCATTTTCGCCTTCTCCTCAGAAAGGAGCGAGTCAGAAAAGGGGAGTTGATGAGACAGTAAGGGGGTAGGGGGGAGAGGAGGAACAGAAGGAGCGGGGAGAAGTGGTGAGGGTGGGTCAGCATTCATCGTTTTAGGTTGGACCCTGGATCCTCGATCGCAGTAAACTTCTTCTGCGCCCACTCCTTCCGAAACTCTTGTTTTTTGCGATTCCTGCCGACCCCAGTGATCTTGTCGTAGCGCGATTTCATGTCGGGGTCGGCTTCGCAGGCTCTCTGCCATCGTCCAGCGATGGAAGCATTCTCAGCCCCATTAGTGGGGACATGCCAATTGTTCTTCTTGATCGACTCCCAGAACTTGTACTCTTCCGAAACCGACCCCAAATTGCGACCAGCACTCTGATCAGAAGAAGAAGCTTGCTGCGCATCGGTTGCAGGTGGCTCGGTCATCAAGCCCCACTTCTGAGGATTTTTCAAGTGCCCGTCCACGTCGACGTCTGACATCAAAGCGCTCATCGATGACGACAGGTCCGGATGACCTACGAAGCATCTTTTCCCGACCCAGGGCTCGAGGATTCCCCG